CACTCCAGTACGACCTTCGGTGGAGGCTTATGTTACGCTCTCTTTGACATTCTTCATATAGGTTCAAGGGGTTTTCATGGTTCTCTATAAAAAAAGAAGCATTTCGTAATTTAAACTCTAAACTCTTCTTTTGTATAGCTATATTGAAAGCTATATCTACGAAATCCATTACATTATATAAGTTTTTAATTGAATTGTTATATTAAAGTCTATAATCTCTTCCGTTTCAGTCTACATCAACGGATTAATTTTGCATAACTCCATTACGATGCTTCCTTAAAAAAGCTCCAAAATAAACCACGAAAATAACTTATCGATACTATCTCATAACAATGTTAGAATTAGAAGAGAAATGTTGTTTCGGATTGTTTACAAGGCCAACAAGTAAAGCTATGTCTGAACAAATAAACAACATAGATAGCGCATGTACATATATAGCAATGGATTGTACTGAGTATAAAATATCTTGATCTATGACCTTGATCCTTACAGCAGCCGAAAAAAATGACTCAAGTGACGAAACTGGTTTTATATGGTCTCGCTGTCTTTTCAGCTATTCCACCTTAAATTTTGTACCATAAAGTTTCCATAGCTGAAGATTTAATACTGAAGTGTGCTATTAAAGTATGTGATAAGTTACATATTCCCATAAAAATTGGTGGATTTCATAGTTTAAAAAAATTTGATAGCAGGAGTAGGCCTATACCATTCCTAAGTTGACAATCTAGTAAAACTATGTTTCCATTACTAACATAATTAATTTCCAATACCAATTATACCTTCTGACAACTTTGCCTACTTTATTCTCATTACTGATTAAAATTTTAGACTTTCCATGTCAAATCATATTTTATCCAATAACTTCCATAACTGCTTGGCTATATAAATAGCGAAGATGCCGAACCACTTCCCAGGGGTTATACATACTATCCTATGTTCTTCACCAACATTGAGGTTTTTAAATGAGCTCATATTTATTGTTTTAACAGTAACTCCAATATTACACCAAATTCCCATTTTAAGAAAATTCCTCGTTTCTTGTAACTTAAAAATCCCCTCGTCTAGAGATTTCCTCGGGAAAGTGCTGGGTGTCGGGAGACGCAGGAGACGATAGAATCCAGACCGGAAACAGCAACGCAATCATTGCACTTCCGGTGGGCAGTCACGTGCCACTCCTGCAGGACTTAACAGCTGAATAGCGTCACAGGACAATAACTCCCTCGGGCAACAGAATGGGAAAGTTATGGTGTGACGAGAACTGTCAACTCCCGTACAAAGACCTTGAAAATCATCGCGGAGGAAAAGTCATTGACATTCCAGCAACATCATTGTAGTGGGTATGCCTGGTTGGATAGTTGGTGTAAGTCAGTAAGTTCCATACTACCTTCAAAGACCGCGGGAGTGCGTAACAGCATTTCACATCAACAATTAAGTAAAATTAACGGAGTAAAAGTTGCAGAGGTCAGAAAAAGTTGTATACCTAAAAATCATTGAAGATCAGAAGAGAAGTATTTATATTCCTTGAACATAATTGCAGAGTAGAAGGAACGAAATATATACCCTGAATATCATTGCAGAGCATAGGCAAAGTGGTATTTCTAGAATATCATTGCAGGGTAGAAAAATAGTGATCAGTGAAAGAGAGAAAGATTGAAAGTGTAGAATTTTCGGTAGCGTGTGTGAAGTGGATGGAGTGGACTGTATTTGTTGCGGTCTTCTCACCTTTAGAGTTGAGTGTTGCGTTGGTGGACGATAACATAAGCGGGGTTTTGATACTTAATGACACAAATTACGAACACTGGTAGATACAATTAATTGACAAATCGTTTTATTATAACAACTAAACTTTCAGTAATTTCACAGAACCTTATATCATAGATGAAGTAATATTTATATTATATATATATATATATTATATTATATATAGAATTATATTACTTCATCTATGCTTACATTTACGTCACAAAAGAGAGACGGGGATCTTCATTCTTGTTGTTTCTGTCAACTAATAAAATAGCTCATTGTTATACCACATGTTGTTTTAAAATCATTGGAACAAGTGAAATCAATGCCATCTGTATTTCTTTGTAGATAAAAGAAAGAAATACTATAACAAAATTATAATGATACTGAATATTACAGAACAGAAAAAGAGAGTACTTAGAACAACATTGCAGAGAAGATGGTTCAGTGAACCAAAAGCTACTAAATCTTCTCATATCAGCATCAAACCTGAAGCTTGACTCATTACAAAATGAGCACTATAACCAGATACCTATACTTAATATTAGGTATTTTATTTAGTAAGGTACCTCTTCAGCCCATCAGGTACTTGTTTTTCTCATTTCTGCCCCGGTTGTTACATTTAATCCTCTATTTTTAAATACATGCCCTAGTTCCTTAGTGCCCTACTTTATAAATTTGAACCCTGATATGTACATTTTCGCCCTGGTTCGTACAACTGCGTGCAGTAAGCAGTAAGGCAGCATACCAAAGACAGCGGAATGTCGTAACTCGTAACCTGTGAAAGATGAGCCGACTGTGTGTGTTTGTGTGTGAGTGAGTGAGGACTCGCCTAAAGTGACGTCACTGTGTTGACAAACCACTCACTGTCTTAAATAACTCATTCTGTCACATCTGTTCTAACTTACCACTCAGTTAACTGTTTTCGGACAGTAACGGTATGGAAATTTGTTGTTAGTTGTACTGGTTTTCTGACGAATATTATGTAAACAATTTAAATTGTTTGCAGCACACAAAGTTGTCTTAGTTTCACAATCTTTTGATATTATGATGAATGATATTAATATACAAGATTATTGTAACTTTACATACAATTTGCTTCGCTAAGCACAATTTTTCTAACGTTACAAAGAAAGGTTTTCTTTATTTTAAACTCTACAAGCATAACTATTTTCAAATACAATTTATATATTACATCAACTTACAAATACCTTTAATCTTGACATTCAAATACCGTATATCTGCATAGATCTTTTGCAATTTAAGTCTTGACACAAATATACAATCGTAGTTCACAAGGATTTGTATTGCTAGGAACTTTCAGGCAACTTGCTGGTGTATTGCTTGTTAGGTATTGTTAAATTGTAACTATTACAAAACTTTAGGCATTGTTAAATTATTACAAAACTGCTTTTAGTGACTGATTTTGTTTAGAAAACTACATTTCTAACTAGTTTTTTAGCTGGTGCTTGACTATCAAGGCTTGCAACACGTAAAATATGTTAATAACATTGCACTTGAGAAAAATCTTGTCAGAGTATTCTTATGAAATGTGGACTACAGGAGTAAAAAAATACCTTTTTTGTCAAATGAGGATAAAGGCTGTAGAATAGACTTTTTTGAATTTGTACACTGTAATGTATTGACACATACCACTCAACGCAAGTATTTAAGTACATCAAATATTGCTCATAACCAAAAAGATAGGCCTACGCCTAACACATACAAAAATATGATATAAGTTTGAAACGTGTAAAAGGTGTAATTTAATCATTTAATCATTAATAATTAAACGCGAAACCCTCAAATACATCCACCACATATTTTCCCTTAGCAAAATATTTTGACGAAACCCTTTGACATCCAAATTATACTTATGAATGTTCAATTACGAACTCAAAGTAAGGAAAACAGACATCAATCGTTTGCGCCGTCGGGAAAACCGAGAATTTACAAAGCCAACTCTTGTGAGTTACTAAACAAACACTTCAAAAGAGAAACGTTAAACGTGAAGATCATGATATGAATTAATAACCAAGATAAGCTTCACAGCTCAAAGAGTGAAATTGAAAGTCATATTCCTTGTGATCTTGATAGTATTATATGTGATGTAAATAATGTGACGGATGGACAGATGTAAGATCTTGATGTTGAGATCAAACACTGAAATGGTACATTGGTCTGCTTTGATGTGGACAGGTGGACGAGATCTGATGCAGAGATTCAGGTGTAACCTGGGAGTGTGTGGTTGTGAAGTGTACAACGGTTACGGTTTCGAGAGTTTGGAATAGATTTAAATTTAAGTAGCTTTTCGCTGGGGGGTAGGAGTGGAAATTAATTGCTGATCAAATGTCTGATTTAAAAAATATATTTTTCAAGATTTCAGCAAAAATGATTCATATCGCAATACATAACGTTTACAAGAGAATTCGGAAATAATATTGTAAATTTAACATTGTGCGTAAACAAATATTTACTATAGCTAAATATCAATACGCTGATAGTTATCAGATACTTATTTTAAGACGGTATGACTAATGGAATGACTAAAATGATCGTAACTTTAAAAAATATACTAATTCATTTAATCGTATTTTTAGGACTTTCAAATAAATACAGTATAAAAGTGCAGGAATTGAGAAATACAGTGAGCACATGAATAGCATTTGATATAATCACATTAGCTTTGGATGATTTTCTTAAAACGTTAGAAGGTATTTTTATTCGTACTTTTTTGTAGCTATCAAATAGTTTGCAATTAAAATGGGTTTTCCTGTTATTGTTGTTTTAACATATCGCAAATACAGGATATGTACCGACACGTCTCCAAATTAATCTTGCAAACTTAATTTTGTAAAACTTAAAGACTTGACATCTTAACTCATGACTCCATTCAATAGTATTTTATAAGATAAACATTTTTACAATTGTGAGGCACCACTCAAAATTTTTAATGTCTATTGTTTACATTCAGGATGTTTGGTTTAGTCTTCTGACTAGTATAAAGTTCTCTGTGTTTTTTACTTTTGAGATTTTTCCTGGATCTGCTCACTTATCTTGTTCAAGAGTTTCAAGAGAGATTCAAGAGATTCAAGAGATTTATTGTACCATTAAGTAATAAATACAATAGGTAACGTCAAAAACTATGCTAAAATAAACAAACCAATGCATATTTGTGTGTTTTACCAACTGTAATGTAAAATTACATCCTTAAACAACTTGCTTTCCACGTTCACTAATCCATCTTGATGTTGCAGAGACGTACCGGTCGGCCGCTGGGGCGAGTACCCGCCAGACCCGCGACATCCACTCCCTGGGCCTGGACGCACCTGGGCTGGACGTGGCCGAGGTAGAGAAGCGGCTCGTGGCTGAGATGGGCGAAGGAGTCTGTGTGTACGAGAGGGTATGCGCTCACTACGCGCAGCTGGCTCATAGGAGGAAGACTGATAATCATGCTTTGGACTGGGAACACATCTTCAGGTAAATGTTTAGGAAATATACTCGAAGATTAGGCCTATGTCTTGAACAGGGTACACATGTCCAGGGACACAACTTCAGCCTGGGGGGTTGAAATCTTGCAATCAAAGCATTACGCTGAAAGGATCCTGAAGTCCTCAAGTACATAATCTGAAATTCATTTTCAAATTAGTTCCTTTTTAAACATTGTTTGACTGTGCTTATTCTCTAGTAGAAGTACCTGAGAGTCTTAGTATTTTCGAAGTGGTACCTTAGAGTTTCAGCATTTTCACAGCAGTACCTTAGAGTCACAGTATCTTCGTTCCCTTAGAGTCAGAGGAGGCTATATATATATGTAGGCGAACAAGGTGGTGCCTGGGGCCCCACACTTACCAGGGGCCCTGCACAGCCGTACCTGAGGGCGCTATTGAGCTTCGCCCTGGGCCCGCAATCTCTAGGGCCCCCACTGCTTAGAGTTGCAGTATCTTCGTTTAGATCATAGACTAGGGAAACGAAAGTTTCCCTAGTCTGTGGTTAGATGTACCTCAGGGCCACAGGGTCTTCGTTAGATGTACCTTAAAGTCGCAGTATCTTCATACCACATTAGAGTCACATTATATTCAGAACAGTGTCTTTCGGTGTCTTTCAAAGAAATACCGTCCTCTGAAAATGTGCTAGAGGTTTTTCAAACAGTTGTATATCTTTAACGTAACCCTAGAGCCGTAGGAGGTATATGGAAACCATAACTTTGCCTCAGAACATCACTTTTGGCTTGAAATTTGAAACTGGACTGAAAATCTATAAACAGAAACTCTTTTCAAACGGAAATTTGAAGATTACAATGTGTCAACTGAGATCACAAAACTATGCCTTGGATTAGGAGAATGTATTAGGTGATGCTTATCATACTTGTGTATTTACTATGAAATCTTCGTGTAAGGTTCAGTTGGTATGAATATTAACTGCTATTTCAGTGTAGTCAGATAAGACTTTGCCTATGGCTCTTTACGACAATGGTCTTCTTACCCATCCAACTCATTATAAGTTTATCTCTTCTACCTTAACACATTACTGTTATCTACTTTAAATTCGTCTACTAGAATGTGAGAAACTAACAACGCTCTTATGAAACTACCCTTCCAGGTAGAAAGTTAAATGTTTTTGCTGCATCGTTTAAATTATAGAAAGTGTTCTGATTCCACAATGGTGATAAAGTTCCTTCAGCTCATCCTGTTTATCATCATTCGAGTGTGATGTCCATTGTATCACCAACGTTGCGAAACACTTCCTAATTGCAGGAGAAATTCTAGCGAGAAATTGCAGCTATCTGGAGTACGGTAATAAGCAAAGAATGCTGCTTTGAATATGCATTGAAGAAAAGGTTGTGGTAATGGCTACGTTGTGGAAATTGGAGAATGTTCACCAATATTACAGTGCAAATACTGTAATTAATTTGAATTTATTTGATTTACCGGCTTAATTACTGTATAGGAATAAAACATTCAGTGGATTCTAAAAGTAATTCAGAAACATGCAGTGATAGATTGAATATTTTATGAAATAACTGTTTCAATGAGATTGTAAACAAAATATTGTAATGATCCACTCGGAAATAAACAAAAATGTCATTGTTTAGACGCGGAACTGCCACAACTGAAATACATCATTTTGTAACTGTTTGCTTAGAGTTACGAATCACAAACAAAAATAACCTTCTGAAACTTCACTTGTAACAATAATACAGTGTGTAACATACAGCAGCAATATACATACAAAGTCGACAAATTTTATTTATTTTTTAACATTGTAGTTGATGTCAAATAAAAACATATTTTCCATTGAGTATACACGTTTCTTTACTGATTTTAAATCGATTCAAAGTAGTGTACCTACCTCCTAAGTATTACAAATTTGCATAAACGATTTATTTGCATTAGTCCTCTGCGGACTGTCCATCATATAGATTTTATTCCATGTAGCTGTGTGGAGTTTTAATTTTTAAACATCTCTTTTCTAAGTATTTAGGCTACCTAGACTGGTACTGCCTCAATACAATTTCTTGAACACTTACGTGTGTCCTAATTTTGGATCTAACTTGTTTAATGAGTTAGCATGTGATTGGTCTATTTTCTTAAACTTTAACATATATTATCAATCCTAAATCTTTACAGTCGATACAAGACTTCTCCAGACAGCAAGAAGCAGTTCTACATCCTAAGTGTGTTCCTGGGTGACATAATAGCTTCTCCAGGGCTCTGCCACCAGCTGGCCAAGCGAGGAAGAAGTTGTGGTGGAGACCTGGACGCAGAAGATTAGGGCTTTGCCCGAGCTACCTCTGGAACCTTCACAAACCCCCAAGGAAATTCTAGATCCTTGTAAGACCTGATAGGACTTCCTTGGATGTCTTATGGTCTTCAGATCAATCTTTTAAATCATCCTTGAGTGTCCTATAACCTTGTAAGGCTTTTTAGGACTTCCAATGAGGTCTTAAACGAAGAAACGTGGGACTTTGTGGACTCTGTAAATTAAACTAACTATCATAGAATGTCATAAAACCTCAAACATTCCTACAAAAACCAATAAACTTCTGCATGTCCCTTTGGTTCCTCAAATATAATTAACTGGTTAACTATGTTATGCAAAGGATGTCAAGAGAGTTCAAATCCTGTAATGTAAAATGTGAAAAAATATCTTTAAAAACTCCCTATTGGATTGAAGAAAGTTATGTAATTTTCTTTAGGATCAAAATATTTTGTTTGAACTTTAAAATCCTCACACTCATTAAATTTTACGAAATAATATGCCCAAAACTACGTACTAATACGTACGTACTAATACGGAGTTCCATAACCTCTTGATGCATTCTTTAAATTTGCTCGACAATTAATTGATGGCTTAAAATGTTCCAAGTGAAATAGTTACCACTTTTTGAGAGGAGACTGATACACAAAAGAATATTACTAAGTGTTAATAAGTATTTTACAATGAGTAAATGTGTGTGTATTGTTAATCCAAGTAACAATTGAGATTCACAAGTAGGCCTAATATTGTCTATCCTTATTAGTTGATTATTTTTGTTACCTTATTTGTGTTACAATTTTGAATTACCTCTTCCCGCCCCTGTACAGATGAATATTCCTTAAATTTACAACATTTTCTTTTATAAATACCCAACAAACAATGTCTATATTTTCTACAATTTCCAATGCTTAATTTTTTCACTTCTTACTTAAACCCCTCTTAAACCCCACTTTTTACCTCAGAAGTACAACAAATTATGTGTTAGAATTATAGTTGTGTAGTAGAGTAATTGTATGTATGTATGTAGATTGTAAATATGTACATTTTAAACGTAAGTCTACCAGAGACTGCAAGGCCGTGTGCAATGTCAATATGTAAAATGTACAATATTTGAAAAAATATTCGTTACATTTTCTTGGAGACCTGTATATAGTAGGTTGTAAGAGTAAATCAAATCGTCTTTATTTCATTACAAACCTGAGCACTACTTTACCATTTCTTTTAGGTAACTATGTAAATAATTCTGTCATCAAAATGGCCAGACATCTATAAAACTAGCAGACAACCCAATATACAAGAGTCTGTATATTGTTAAAGTATATTGTATATTGTTATTATTAAAGTATCGAAATAATGTTTACAGTACATTCAGATAAATCTGTACTTTCCTGTTAAAGGGAACATTCATTATTATCGATGATTTTTTTCTCGATATATCGATATTAACAAATTGAAACATATCAGCTGACAACTACGATTAATATTGTTCGGTATCAACAAACAATAATAAAATGTAACTGTTCTAAAAAAAATAACCTAACATAACTAACCAAACTTGCTGTGTAACATTTAAAAATTCCGTGTTTACCTTGCCTTTTCTGTTATCAAAAGGAATTTTTAAATAGTACAACAAGTTTGGTTGGTTATGTTAGGTTAGCTTAGAACAGTTTCATTTCTTAATCCATATTAACAGACTATTTTATCCTAAACAAGATCAGTTGTCAATTTGTAATGGACCAGAAAACAAAAATATCGATATATCGAAAAAATCATCGATAATAATGAATGTTCCCTTTAACAGGAAAGTACCGATAAATCTTTAAAAGTTGTAATCTTTTTAACTAAGGCACAGCATCACTCAGTTGAATGAATTTTACGTTGCCAAACGAAGATGTATAGTTATATTGCATCAATTTTTACTTTTTATTGTAAATGTATTGTAAATGTATTGTAATAAATAAAGACTTCTTCTTTTGCCTTGTTTATTTATTAAACCCCTGTGCACGCCTCATTCACTTCATCAGTTTATCTTCATTCTTCATGGGATCATAGAACAATGATTATACTACTCTAATCTGTGGTAAGATTCATTTCCCAATATAACCTTAAATCTTGACCTTAAAATGTCCATGATTAAAGTACAGGGCGTTTATAAAAGAATCATCAGGTTTTAATGGCGTGTACCTCACTCAATTTTTGTCCCACATTAATATTTGAAACGTGTGCTTAAAAAGCATGCTTCCAAGTTTTATAATCAGCTATTCAATAATCAGTCTTGGTTTTTTCTTGGACGTGTTTGCATCATTTTCAAAATGATTACAATTCAAGGAAAGACATTTTGTGTTTTTCATTATGACTCAAGTTCATCTTTAATATCCGTCCAGTGTGAGTTTGGGGGGCATTTTAGACGGACTCCTCCTACACACCAAATCATTTTAAGGTGGTATCGCTAGTTTAAGAAATGTGGTAGTTTATTAAAACGTAGAAGCAGTGGTCGCGCAAGAGCTCTCTTAAAAACTGAAATGGATTGGCAAATGTAACGATAATGACTTTACCCTTCTCAAATGGGCCCCTAGATCCCCTGATCTTTCTGTTTATGATTTTTCTTCCATGGGGCTATGTAAAAGACAAAGTTTATATACCGCCAAAGCCTTAAACACTTCAAGAGCTCCGTGGACGAATTCGCAATGCCGTAGAATCAATTATTAATCTTGCGATGCTAGCCGGTGTATTAGACAATTTACAGCATAGATTGGAAAATTGCTCCACAGGTAATGGACGTCACTTTGACAGCTTGTAGTGGTATCTATGAAAAATTTAAGAGTTCTTCTTAATGTTAGTAAATTTTATATCCGTATTTGTTTAACATTAACGTCAATAAAATGTTTTAAAACCTGATGATTCTTTTATAAACACCCTGTATATTCATAAGTCCATCCATGGCCCTTTATATTTCCTACGTTTCCATCACTTACCTGAATATAAACTCATAAACTTTTATCAAAGGTTGAATTTCCATTCCAAGACCGTTGGAGTGTAACTATATTTATACAACAGATAAAAAAACAGTTTTTTTCCTTTTTCGCGTCCTTTTCTCGTTGCAAAGCACTGGTACAGCAGCTAGTATTATTTTAAAAACCCATCTTTAATAGCATGTAAATGCATAAAAAAATATAATATCAATCGAATTCGACCAACAGCACAGGTCATAAGTCCACATCGGAGACTCTCTCCAACAGTGTAGGAAGGTGTTTATTTTCATATCCGTCTTTTTTAAGTATAAAGAAAAGGTCATAGTTTTGAATTGTCTTGGAGACTTTTTTGTCAAATTATTGGCCATTAAATAATGAGTACAGTTTTTATAGTATTAGTAAATATTTACTAAATATTTTCAAGAAAACGATGACTTTTCCAATGTTTTTGTAAATCCCCCTCTAACATACTTTTTCAAAATCCGAAAAAACAAGCGCATTAAATCATTGATGTCTCATGCATTTTAATGAAGTTTGAAATGTTACTTGGAAACAAACTTGTTGAAAATCTAAAAAAATACATGATTTACGACTGTAAACAAGCAAGTAGGGATGAAACTATTTAACATACACACAAATCACACATGCTTAGTGCACTAATTATCATACTGTATGGGACTGGAGTCTGGTTTGGGGTGATTTATTTCTGATGGGAAATCCAACTTCCTTCAGTGTATGCATTTAAGAATTACATCTCCTAAATTCTCTAGATTTACGGACTTCCTAATTCCATTATTTACAAGGATTATTTCAGAAAAATATTTGTCTAAGTCAAAGTTTATTTTATTTTATAGTCTTGCCCAAAAAAATTACTTAAACTAACACAAATTCAATTCCTCTTCAACTTGCCCCCAATATGTTAAAGTAAAATGAATAATGAAGTCAAACCATATAGTTACTATTTATTATTTTAAATAAATAAAATATTCCTATTTAAACTTGCATCAGTGTATAATTTTCTATAGCTTTTGACTTCGCACTCTTAACTGTGTTGTATTTAATTATTTTTGAAGTGGTTATTAAATTAAGAACACAAAACTTATTTTGGTTGAGCCTAATAGAGGGAGTGCTTCTTTTAAGCACTTTTTTATGTGCAATTCGTTTAAGATCAACCCAAACTGAGAGACTAATATTTGTAAACTATACCTTCTTTTTATCCCCTAGCAACTATCAATGGATGAGAAAACAAACAGTAAATAACTTCTATAACACCATATTTTCTGAAAAGCTTATTTAACTATTTAATTTTATTAAAAACTAACAACTGCTGGTCCATATGATATATGTAAAAAATACTTCGATAGAATCTACTCCACTATGCCATATAATATTTTTAAATCTACTTCAATATCTGAAGTCCATAACGCAACCTCTACACATAAACTAATAACCATAATTTCATGGACCACCTTAAAATCTTAATCCCTCGCTAAATCATCCCTCGACAAATCACCCCCCTACTTGCTTCTTAACATAATGTCTTGAACTGTTACACCCTCTGCCTCCACGACTTCCTGAACCCTGCTAGACAATGGTCGTCCGTGTGTCTCGGTTAATGGTGTAGGCTGACACCTCATCCATCATGGCGCCAGGGATTGTTTGGAGTCAGCGATGGAGGAAATGGCGTAGAAATGGTTTAAGACAGTCCCTGGGTTAGTGCTGGGTGTTAATTTCATTGTTGGTGATTAATCTGTTCAAGATGTCGGGAGGAAGATCTTGGAATAGAATTATTTAGTGAAGAGTGTGTTGAAGCGGTACTTACGTATTATTATACGGTTCACAACCTAACCTAACCTAACTTAAGGGTAGAATATGTTTTAGGTTAGGTTTGGAAGATTTTGTTATTTAAACGAATTAAAATCTTATTTGGAAGTTGATTTTTTTTCGGTGTGGTTGGTATAATACGTAAGTACCCTTGAAGTATTTATTCTAGCCATATAAAAGTTTTGAGAGGGTTCCTAAAAGCAGAGAAAGTTCTTCATATCTT